TATCTGGGAGAAGAAAAACTTGAGGACAAAAGTTATTCCCCTTTAAAAGTTTAAAGAGTATGCAACATGTGATTGGCATTTATAAAATTAATTTTGGAACGTGCGATAAAATCTTGGGTTAAAATTGGGAAACGTGCTGTCCACTGATTTTTATATGAAATTTAATTGCCAAAACTTTTCAACATTCATTAACAATATTTGCAACATAAGGCCTTTATAAGATTGAGTCCCACTGTGCCCATGCTTTAAGACGGCACTGCCTGATATAAGTAGGTAATGCAGGAAAAGATGGAGAAAACACATAACTCATTGCGCTAATGAATTCATGTTTTGCCTAAAATTCCAATATTACAATTGATCCTGATATTGGATGAAATTGAACAATATCATTGAGTGCTACTACTTGTGTCCAACGTGGTGCAAATGTATCAATAAAAGGGCTGGTCTTTTTTTTCAACCATACCCGGCTACTGGGTGTAAAACACAGGCACATGATTAAACATTTAAAAATAACAAAAAACTTTAGTGAAAGTGTCTTGTAAATATTTTTGTTTAGTTTGTTATTTGAGTTTTTATACTAGTAATCCATAAAATAAATTAGGGGCCAGTAGGGAGTAGGCAACCAATAAAAGAAAAAGATTCCATTTTAAATTGTTTAAATTGCTACAAAATATTTAAAAGCTTCTCATGAAACTACAGTCCCAAAGGAACATGAAAATACAAATATACTATAAAATAATTTTATTTAAAATTGAAAAAAAAATTCGATCCCATACTTGAATTGATCTCAAAACATAACACCGCCAAGCGGCCCCTCTACCTCAAAAACACACAAGATCTCATTTAATAGACAAATCTTAAAACCAGGCCAATGGGACATTTTTGCCGTGGTGTAATCGTCACATGATCAACGGAAAATGGATCCCACGTGATCCATCCGGTCCAAATAGCAATTTTGGCTAACAGGACCCACTTCGAAAATCTACAGCCCTAAACATATTCTATTGGGACCCGGGTCCAAATAGCGGCGATGCGTTTCCGGTTCCATTTTGACTAAATGCTATTCGGATGTCATTGGTGGTAGTTTATTTTAGTCAAACTGAAGAAGTAAGTTAACAAACATATAGTCCATTCAATCAACTTGCATTTGATACATAATGTTGTCTTACAAACCCTACAATAATTTTTAAATATTTTTTAAATAAACCCAAACTCTCAACGGTCCGAATAGCCGCATCCTTGACAAAATGTGACAAATAATTTGTGGAATTCCCATTTCAAATTTCACTTGTATTTGGCGACGCTGGTTGACTTTGACACCCTGCTGATTTATTGATTTTTTAAATTTAAAAAAATGTGTTATTGACGATTTTAAAGTTGTAGCAAACAAAACGTAGCTGCGTATTAGGCAAGGTTGTCCCATTGGATTCACACTCAAGGGTAAAGTCATATCGGCAGTGGCTTAAATTTAAGTTCTAGTCATGACTTGGATAAGAAATAATATATTATTTTGTACTTTACTAAGCGGTCTTCTTAGAAATGTTGTTCCTTTCAGTTTCAGTTTTATTCATGATTGAAGTCATATTTTAAGCTTGTTTAAAAAAAAATTATTGTTTGGCAATCGTATATTAGCACATCACTACAGAGTTTAGGATGCATTAAGCAACAGTTTGTGACAATCTGTCACTTGCTGAAATTTAAACAAAAAATAAGAAGAAGAAAATTGTATTCTAAAACTGTGAAACCGGGATTTCCCGACTATGGAGTAATTTTCCGGACAGACCATGCTGGATCCCGGGCCATAGAAAGTAAATCTTTATCACAGCAACCTTAAAGTTTATGTAATAATGTTGGTTTTTTTTTGTTTTGATATTTTTTTTATTGTAAATAATACACAATAAATATTAAAATATGTTAGGAATGAATGTATCATATAAAAAAAATATGTACATTGTTGTACAAAGCATTTTAATGCACATTCATTTAGAATTACAATAACTACTTAATTTCGTGAAATTTTACTGTCTTAAACCGAAATTTCAAAACGAAATCCGTTATAACTTTCATAGGCCTACCATAGATATAAGAACCGCACTTGGCATTGAAAAAAACCATGGCCAGCAAGACGCAATTAGCTCAGAGATTGGATACTTTTCTTAAACATCAACTCGAGATGCTAGAGGTGGAGTGTGGAAGTATGAAGGATGCCATGGATGATATTGTCAGTAAGGTAATCATTTATTTAACTTGTCCAATCGATCAGTTATCACCAGAAATATTGAATATGTAGCCTAAAACGTTTAATTTAGATTGCTTGAAACTTCAATGTTTAAATCCATCTCATGTTTTGAACACTATCGCGTTAAGAATTTAAATATAGTTTTTTTTTAAACTTCTTTAAACTTAATATTTAATTAGTAAAAAGAATAGCATAAACTCATATAGATTATCAACATTACCCGATGCTACACTGGTAATAATGTAATTGCACACTGCGTTTTTATTATACGGCGTAATGATGGGATTTAAAGGTATTGATATCCACACAAATATGTATAGACCCTACTCTCTTCCTTTTTACGAATTGATTACGATACAGGTTATTTTTTATGGTACCGCGGTTAGCATTATTGTGTACACACCTGTAACTTCTACGGTCTGATTGCATAATTATTCTCATCAATACATAGTCATTTCTTTCTCGCGCCTTAATTTGTTTAAAAAAAAACAATATTTAACCATTATTTCCATTCTTCCAAAAGTGCGTTAATTTTTTTTTTTATAGATAGGTGAATGGAATTGTTACAAAGAGTCCATGTCTTGAAACTGTATTTTTTTACTTTAGTAAGACAGATAGGTATAGTCTTACTAAAAAGGTTCCAATCAGACAGATATCATTTCTGTTTAGCGAGGTCGAACCGGCGTATAATATGATTAACGGGAAGTGGGTCAATTAGCCTTCTAAAGATTATGCCAGACAGACAAAAGGGAATCACGTGATCAAAAGGAATTTAAATAAGAAGACATATCCAAGGCATTTTTTATAAACGCCAAAGAAGACAAATGTCCTTAGCTGATTTTACGGAAAAAGAAAGTGTGAGATGCAGAGATAAATAAAATAGAATTTCTTCAGTTTATTAAGATTATATTAGGATATCACATTCATGATTTTATTTACTTACAATCATTGGTTTTTTTTTAAACCAGATGCGTTTACGTGTAGCCCAGGAGCTGGACCAATGGCATCGTTCAGGTCATGTTGATCAGTTACGTTTTCAGGAGCTTTCCAAAAACATCCAACAAGCAACAACTTTTGTTATTATGAAGAATATGGAACTTTCCTGTAAGTCTTAATTATGATAACACATCCAATTTCCTAAGTTTGTTAACATTTTTATTAACATAACATTTTTATCCACTATTAATTTAAAAAAAAAAAATTCCTATGGATGCAATATGTACAGGTGTAGAAAGCAGGGACGTGCTGGCACATGGAAACCCGTGACGAACGGTGTAGTAAGAAAGGCTAAGAGCCCCCCCCCCCGCCCCGCACACCGGAGATAGTAATAACTGTATTTAAAAAAAAAAAATTCCTATGGATGCAATATGTACAGGTGTAGAAAGCAGGGACGTGCTGGCACATGGAAACCCGTGACGAACGGTGTAGTAAGAAAGGCTAAGAGCCCCCCCCCCGCCCCGCACACCGGAGATAGTAATAACTGTAGGTAAATACCCAAAAAGGCCCATGACCGAATGCTCGTCGCGTCGTCGTGGGCCAGCACGTCCCTGGTAGAAAGACAGCTATGGACAGGAGGTCCAATGTCGGTGGTAATTTAGATCAAATAACATTTAAAAATGGATTCTGTCTACACCTATTATAAAAAGTGGCTTTAGTCTAACGTGTTTTTGTTTTTATTTTTATTTTTTTTTATTTAAGAGACGACAAAGGCTAGTACCAACCCAGATCAAACACATTCCAACCTCAATTTTTCTTTGTCTTCGTTTTTATCTTTAAAATGTTTCAATTTCTTCAGGTTTGAATACTGATGAAACCGAGTGTGAGGTAAATGGAATGTACGCGTCACAGACTACTGATTCCATCATGCCACCAGAAGCTAGGACAACCGATACAGCACCAGGTAAGAGCAAGACACATGCGTATGAAATATTGAATAAAACATAAAATAACTCTACGAATTATTATTTTTCTCTTCAAAGTGTCTTTAATTCATTGAATATATTGTCAATTGTAAAATAAACTTTATCAATTGTTCAATTTACAAAGTTTGTCTAAAATATTTTTTTTTATGACATCGTATACAATATTCACGAAAGGACGAGAGATTATTATGCGAATCTGAATATTATTTACAAGAGAAAACATATCTACATCAGATTAAAACATCAGTTATTGGGGTTAAAAACAAAATTATGTGTAAAAGTTAAAGGTATTCAACTATATCAAAATGATGGTTAACGGATTAATTCACTCTTTCACTGCGTAAATTTTAAGCGTTACTTCTAACCACATCAATAGACAGCTTGCTGTATCTCCTATTACATATTCTCATGGGCAGATGATGGTCATAAATTCACAAACATCCCACCAAAATGTGTACTAACATAGTGAACACAAGAATTAACCGTTTTGAAACTTTCGCATTTTGAATTCACTTCCCATTTCACGACCACTTATGTATGGGTAGAAATAATAGTCGAATACGAATACTTTTTCATCAGTTGTTAGACCAATTTTTCAACAACAGTTCACACGAAATATCTTTTATTTTACTGTTGGTACCATGTGTCGACTGGAAAAACCTCAACCAAACCTCGTACTCGTACAAGATGCAACCTGCCTGAGTTTTGTTACTGTTAATTTTGGTGCATACTTTATATAACACGGTTAAGAACAGAAAATGCAATAAAGTTTTGGATTCAAAATTTCAACACTTGCATGAATTATTATTTTATTCTAAAATCTTTGAGATAGAATTAAAAAGTATACTTTTATATTGCTTGACAGGTATAAGTGTTGACTTTGAAAGCATGATAAAAAGACTGGAAAAAATGGAAGAAGAAGTGTCCTCATTGAAAAATGCAACAAAAGAAATTCAAGAAAAACAAAAAACTTGTGATGAGAAATTAAAGGAGCCTTCAGTTCCAAAGAAACCTTTTGATAAAGTTTTAAATGATGTCAAAATCCTGAAAAAAAATGCTGATAGGTTTCAAAATGAGGTTTCAGACCAGCACAAAAATGTTGACAAAAAAGTTGATACTCTGCATAACATGCATTTGAAGTTTAAGAAAAAAATTCACGAAAGAGTTAACAAAATTAAGGAAACGAACGGAGACATTTCATCAAGTATTGATCATTACTTTGAAACTGTAACAGAATTTGATTCTAGGTTAAAAAGTTTAGAAGATAAAAATAAGTCTGTGAATGTCTCAGTGAATGAACTCAATAAACAGATCAGCTCTGTTAGAACTTGTAGCAATGACGCCCTTATGTCTATACAAGATTTGTCAAAGAGCGTCGAGAGTACAAATCAACATTATAATGAAATGTCTGATAAAATGAATCAAATGGAAATCTCAATCAATCTCATGTCAGCTCAGTACACAGAGCAGTTGGAAAATATGAAAAGTCACAACCAAGATAAATTTGAAGATTTGGTACGTAGTGGAATGTTATAATTATCTTTTTAACTGTTCAAAATATTGTAAAGCTATGTTTTAGAAAAAAATATAATTTTTACAAAGTTTTTTTAAAAGAAACATGCTCAATCTAAACAATAAATGTATATCATTCACACGATGTAGCATGGGAATTTTGGTTTTCTGAAAATTTATATTTTTCGTTATCGTTAAACTAAGTGAAAACTTTAATCAGGTGGAAAGGGGATGTGGTTGCTCCATGATCTCATAACAGGTCCGTTTACTGACTTTTGGAGGCCCCCCCCCCAGACAACTTTTTTTTCCTCCTTAAAGTAAATATTTTTTTTTGTTTAGACCTAACTTTCAGAACCTTAAAAAGCGTACATTTGACTTATTCAATTTTCTGAGTTTGGTCCCTAAGGACGGCAGGGATTGCAGCCCCCCCCCCCCGTGAAGGCTCAGCCTGCTACACAAAACAACATAGGACATCTGTCAATGCTCAGTCTGCACGCGTCCGTATGGATGCTACACGTAGCTTTGTCTTTCGTCATCGCGGCTTTTTAACCTCGCCTGTCTAAAATAGCTGTTTTGGTACTTTCCTAAAGATTTTTTTTATACTTCCCTAAATTTCTTTTTCACATTCCGTGCATTTGCTCCCGGGACCAAGCTTTGCTAAAACGGAACGAGGGGCGCATTTTGAGATCGCTTTACTCTCACAGAAACAACATATAAAACGCTACGAGGGATACAGTTGGCAATCCAAAAGTTGGCCCATTTTCATAACAGCTTTTTAAAAGTTACCTTAAATTTTGGATTAAGTTACCGTTTCAATCTTTACCAAGGGTTGCCCAGACGCTTTATTAGACGTGTATTTGAATTTGTTATGCCCACCCTGTAGATTTTGAATTACAAGAACTTTTCAGAGAAGTTCTAATACTGGATGAAGATAATAGTCTATCAGTGTCTAATCAAAGGAAAAAAAATAGCAAAAAAAAAAAGACTGAAAAAAAACCCAAAACCATGTTTGGACAAAATATCAACCCTTGTATGATAATCGACATGCATTAATAAAATAGATCAAGCATGTAGCTTCAGTAGGTCAGATCAAGCTACTCACAGAAAACCTGACGATGCATCCATTTCATCACTTGCGTGTTAACAGTCGATAATAGACTTGATTGGTTTGACGTGTACTGAACTTTATGAGACTTCTTATAAACAGACGTGCAGATCTAGGATCATTTGGACTTTTAACTTCGGGTTTACAGTTCAATCGTCCCTATACTTTGGTTAAGCTTTTTCAACAACTTTTTCCAATTTGCATCTCTCATTTGTTAGATTTCAACACTTTTCCAGAAAACCGCGTCGGAAAAAAAAACCGATAGTTACTTGATAAAAGATAGTAAGGTTTAACCTGAAAAAAAAGAAACGCAACAAAACAACGAACGTGTCGACAGGAAGCTTTCGTCAGCGAACAAACAGAAAAAAACAGAATGCCATTTAAAAATAGCACTTAGAATAAAAGTAGTATCGGAGATGGCAGCAAACGAATTGTGGAATAACTCAGTACCATTTATCCGATTGCGATAAAACTTTGTGAGTTGTTGTACAAGCGCCGGCAAATGTTTCTAAATTATTACATACATTTTACAATATTCCGTTTTGGGCCCCGTGGTCCAAAATTCGTTTTTCCTCCTTTTATGAGCTCAGTATAATTTCCGTATGCCTTCCTATACCATTTATCCGATTGCGATAAACTTTGGTAAGTTGTGCGCCCGCCACAAAGATTTCTGAATTAGGTTGCCCATCTTGAAATATTCCATTTTGGGGCCGAGGGCTATACAAATATAATTTCAAACTGAGCTTTTGCATGGTTTGATTGAATTGAATCAATACAAGCGAAATTTCAGTTTGAGTGTAACACAATAAGTAGGTTTATGAATTAGTGCAACCATTTTACAATTGTGTGTTTGGGGCCAGGGCCGTATTATTTATTTTTTAATTTGTTGTAATGAGACCTATATAAATATAATTTCAAACAAAGCTACTGCATGGATGGATCAATCGCTAAGAGTGTCTGGACTAAATTTTGAAAATCCATGCTTCTCACGTTGACAACTGTATGCTCCCTGCTCATGTCGAAAAACCTTCTAATTTGTTCATTTCGGTACGCACCAGAATTGGAAACAAAATTCTGTTTAAAAATTACTTTAAAGAACGTATTTAAACCCATTTACATTTTGTTCTTCGTGTAGCATTGCAACCTATGCCGAGTTCTCGCTAGTATATAAATAAACAAAAAAAACAAAAGAAAGCAACACAACTAACTCTTTTTTTAGCATGCACTTTTTTTTTCCTTTTGGGTTTACGGGAACAAATCTAAAAAATGCATTTTATTTTGTTTATATTTCATCGACATTTTAAACTTTTTTTTTTGTCCATTGTAAAATAAGAAATAATTTAACTGTTTTTTCAGATTGGTGTGGTTTGTCAACTGGTCGTTAAAAGATTGGCTCCAATGGAAGTCCTAAAGAAGGCTCTAAACACGGTGTCGACCACAAAAGCACCACTGACGTTAAAGGTAATTAAAATTGCATTACATTGAATTGGTGCAAATGAGAGGGGGACTTTAGCAGCATGCTTCACCGACATCGTCATGGAAACGGGCATTTTTTAAATAAAACTTTTCAAATGTGTAAATAATTTAATATATTATTTTACTCTATGGTTTGGGTCACACAGTACATAAAAAATGACGATACTCTTCATTAAATACTGTATTAAATAAGCGATACCCTATCTAGGGCCAATTATATAATAATAATTTATTAAGTAAAATTACAAAATAAAACACTAAACTAAGGCTATAGACTTACAATACAGTGGTGAACTTGTACTACTACATTATTAAAGAAGGAGCATACACAAACAGAGAATAAATGTTAATATACAAATTATACAAATCTTATTTCTCGTATCGTAAAAGCAAAACTCTCTTGTAACAGACCAATCTCTGATCTCAACTCTTCTATCGTCTGTTCATCTCGATAGGCGTATAAAAAGCCTTTTTTAGAGACATGTCTGGAAATGAGTTTGGCATTGTATAAGAACCTCCACCAATCTCAGACATTCTAAAGATTTCAACTTCGAAAGACTATAGATTGTTTTTACTTTTAGACAGGGTTAAGGGAGACTATTTGTAATTAAGCTACACCACGCCGAAGTGAAAAACTTGGGGTCAGCTTAAGTTCATGCACAAGAAAAGATGACGTAATCAAGACGCATATAAATCAAAATGAAAATCAATGTATTAAAAAAAACAAAAAAACTAACCGCATTCTACGATACTCCAAAAATTTATACTTATTTTAAAAATGTCCTAAATTGACATATTTTCCAAGAGATTATTAATCGTCTATATGGCTGGAAAGAAGCATCCTTGCTCTAATTAAACAAATATTTACTTCTCTTAAAATGTAATTACTCTATAATATTGTTTTAAAAATACGATACATATCCTTTTTCTAGATTTTTGTGTGTATTTTTGTTTTCAAGATTATATATGTGTTCCTTACCAGCTTCAAGCACTTTACACAATGATTAACTTTTGTTTATTCCTTATTTAAGAGGGAGGATGCTGAAAAGCGTTATGTGCATCTATCAGAAAGAATATCGGAAATGGGTAATTTAGTGTTGGTTTAATTATTTCAATTATTTTTTTGTTGAAAATAAAGACTATTTAAAACTAAAAGTTTCTTGATCATATCCCTACACATCAACATCCCATGAATATACAGATTAAGGCTTTGACAAACATATTCATTTTTAATGTTTAATATATTTTTTTTTTAATGTTTACGCACACTTCTTTTTATTTGTTTAAAAATTAGTCTATGTTTTTCCTTTTCACAGAATCGAAACCTTGTCTCCCAGAGGTCGGATTCTACGTCTCTGGTTATTTCAATCTCACCGTTGGAACTTACATTTTCAAACAATTTAGAGCTGTCCACGATAAATATAAAATCTACTTTGAAGAACGATCCGGGAGACTCAAAATCCCATTTACGGGCTTGTATTTGATCAGCATTCGTGCTGAACTTGCTAAAAATAACAGCATTGCAGTTCAATATATTTGGGAATACCCTTTGTGGTGTATTTCCGAAGATAATACAGACGAATGTTTGTGTAGATTAACAGGAAACCAACCAATTACTGTTTGTTGTCATCTGAAGGCTGGCGGGGATGTCTTCTTGAAAATGAACATAAGGGAAGAAAATAGCACTTTTATCGATTTCTCTTGTGTTTTGATAAATAAATAAGAGAGAATAAAACAACAACACAGATTATAGATACTTATCATATTACATTTAATATTATATATTAAATGATAAAATGTTTTTATTTGTTTGTGGTTTGCCTTCGGATCTTGACCAAATTCGACAAACGTTTCTTTCGTTAATCAAAATAAAATATCCTTGTTTTTTTTTGTTGTTATTTTACATCTTGTAAATAATACGTTCGGGACCTTGAGGCCCATAAATCCCTTTTTTTTTTCCTTGCATCATTTTCATAAATAAAAGATCAAGCTTGGGAGTGTGCATTGGTGGATTGATCTAGAGCAAACTTAGTAAACATGCACATGATCATCCATATTTAAATACCTAAAGGCACTAAGCTTATAATATCCACTCAAACGGAAAGTTGGGCCCCAATTTAATTTAACCATTTTATAAGCTACACATAAGTACCAGAAGCTACGAATTAATATGGGAAAGAAAAAATAATGAATTTTTATTACTTTTTTTAAAAACTATTTTATATGGAGTGAGTGTAGGCCTTTGAGGGAAAAAGTCTAAATATATCTCAGGTTTAGTCAGGGAATGAGCTCCAACCCTTCAGTTTGGGGTGATATGTGTTTGAACTATACAACCGATCCAATCTCTTGACCAATTGAGCTATTTTAAGAATTAAAATCCAAATCAAAAAGAGAGAACTACAAAAAATGTTTGTTTAAAAATATGTTTTGGTAAATTAATTTGATGAAAGATGTAAAATAATTATTTTTTTTTAAAATAAAAAGTATGGTTGAATTTTCAAGAATGATGTAAAACAAAATTGTTATGGTAAAATGTTGTATTACTAATATTTTTAGTTAAATCCTAGGCGGAGGGGGGCGGTGGGCGGGGCGGGAAGGGTGGCTTCAACCACTCAGGGGGGATGGACGACTGTAATAAGTAGAAATTGCCTGTTTAGCTGAAACTGTACTGATTAATATAAAAATCGTGTAATTTTAAAATTTTAAAATGATGTATAAAATTTTGAATAAATAAGTCACCATTTAGCAGAGGTTTTACGATGATTAAATTGTTGTAAAATAAATTAAATGTTCTACTTATTCATACGTAGAAATTTAGGGCTCTAATTGTGTTTCCCAAAGCAGCGTTTAATATACCCCAGACTCCACAGAGAGTATCACAGAATGAAGAATTTTTTTTTATATTTAAAGTCATAATCTATTCTTTTACAAAGAGAAGATGGTGTACTTCTTCTGCAACTTCGACACCATTTTTTGCGCATTTTAAACGTAAGCTTCTAATAACTTTTACATATTTATAAAATATGATTTTTAGACATTTATTAATAAACATGCGTTTAAACTATGCTTCTGACTATTAAATAATTTATAAATATATATATTATGCTATAGGAGTGTGTGTGTGTAAACAGTAAACAGCTTTTGTTACAAAATTCTAAGCAATCATTATATTTTAAAGAAGATGAAACAAACATATTTAAAATGAATTAGCTAATTAGTGAGCAGTTTTGCATTACAGAGTTTGAGGAATATCTACAGGCCTACTAATAAAAGGCAAGGCCTTCACACACTCACTTACTGTCTCATCACTGATTCTCCAACTTCCAATGTAGATAGAAGCTTGAAATTTGGTAGGCTTATTCCTTACAGGTTACTTACAAAAGGTAAGCAGGTTTCATTTCGAAGCTCTATACCAGTTGTGGCGGGGGCCCAAAATGTCGTTTTTTCCTATATGGACTATATAAATTAAATGATAAACAAATACTGCTACATGTATAGATGGATCTTGACCAAACTTAATATACATACATTTGATAATCCATATACAAATACCGAAGGGTACTTCACACATGATATACATCCCTCTGGGGCCGGGTGCCCCATTTCCTTTTTTGTTATATAAGTTTCATAAATATCAAAAGGCTAAGTACTCCTACAAGAATAAATTTATCTTGACCAAACTTAGGACACATACTCTTGATTATCCATATTCAAATACCGAAGGGTACTGAACTGAAAATACCCATACGTCTGGGGCCGGAGGCCTCATTTTTTTATATAAGCTATATTCTCCAACTTCCCTTGTAGATAGAAGCCTGAAATTTGGCGGACTTATTCCTTACAGCTCATTTACAACATCCCAATTTCATTTTTATTATATAAGCTATATAAATATCAATAGTGTTAGACAACATTATAGGTTCTATGTGAATAGGTGGATCTAGGCCTAGCTTGGTAGCAATACCCTTCTTAGCTCGTATTAAAATATCGGTGGATTTAAACTAATCATTTCCAATCCATTCAAGGCTGGTCTAGAATTTTCTAGAAAGTTTGATAGTTTATAAAATGCTATATCTATGGCATTTTTAAACCGATTTTATTGGGACAAATTTTAAATCTAAAATTTATCTGAAAGAATTTTATAGTTCCCCCCCCCCCCACCCCCTCTCTCAGACATAACTAAAACGGTACTTTATTAAATGGGCCCTCACCGGGGTCCAATATCAATTATAGTTTGATAGTTTATAAAATGCTATATCTATGGCATTTTTAAACCGATTTTATTGGGACAAATTTTTAATCTAAAATTTATCTGAATGAATTTTATAGTTCCCCCCCCCCCACCCCCTCTCTCAGACATAACTAAAACGGTACTTTATTAAATGGGCCCTCACCGGGGTCCAATATCAATTAAATGTTCTATAATTATAATAGTACAATCTAGTTGTATGCTATTTTGCATTTTAGAAATAAATACTTAGAAAAGGAATTAATTTTTTTACACGTTACAAGGCGGATATTAATTTTAATCTAGAATGTTCTAGAATGTTCTACATTGTTGTACGGAGATATATAATTATATCTAAAAGCTGATTCGATCAAAATCGTAATGAGCATGATCCACAGAGAAACCGGATCCTAATTGGACCCATCGGTTACGCGATCCCGTCGGGTAACAGGATACCATTGAGATCCCTTCGGAAAACGGGATCAAACCAGGATCAGGATCCTATCAGGAAAAACCATAACATCGGAAAGAGAGTCCCTAGGTGGAACGGGATCTCACAGAGAACGGTATACTAATGGGATCGGTAGCCCAACGGGTTCAACTGTGGTCGGGATACCACTGGGATCAAGACACCGACGGAATCTGTATCCTAACGGGTTCTGGATTCACCCTGGATCCTAAGCCACAAGAAAATAGGATCCCACCGGGAACGGGATCACACCGGGAAAAGGGATTGGACTCATTAGAACTTGGGTCTTACCAGGATCGGGGTCCCAAGGACAGACCCTACACAAATTGGCATTGATTTGAATTAAGATTGATTTTCGCAAGGAAATGTATTGAATAGTTTCCGGAATATGCGGATACTTGATAGTTTCTTCTTTTTTTTTTCATAAAAAAGGCCCTTCGCTGCGAAGCGCGGGTATTTTGCTAGTTAAGAATATAAAATAAGAAAACCGATGTTCACGTCATTTTTTAGAAGAAGAATTCTTTAGATCAGGCCTGCACAACTCAAAATGTAAGGGGGGCCGAAATACTTTATGAAAAACTTGTGAAGGCCAATAGAAAATAGGACGGAGGGAAAGCTATTAAGAAAATAATAAGAATAATGAATATTTTGTTACTTCGCGGGCCGCAAAGTGGGTGCTGGCGGGCCGTATGCTGTGCAGGCCTGCTTTAGATCCACCTTTCCATTGAGAAATAGTCTCGTCCTTTCCATAATAAACCAAAAAGTTGGCTCCTGATTTTAAAAAAAAAAAAAAAAAAAAAAAAAAAAAAAAAANGCTATTAAGAAAATAATAAGAATAATGAATATTTTGTTACTTCGCGGGCCGCAAAGTGGGGGCTGGCGGGCCGTATGCTGTGCAGGCCTGCTTTAGATCCACCTTTCCATTGAGAAATAGTCTCGTCCTTTCCATAAAAAACCAAAAAGTTGGCTCCTGATTTTAAAAAAAAAAAAAAAAAAAAAAAAATTGAGATGAGTTGAGTTGCCATTTATATTTCATAAGTAAGAAGCGCTGCCCAGAATTGTGACCAGACATTTCATTTTTAATAAACATGCTATTTAATAGCTGAGCGTGTTGTATTACTGTTATGCACAAGGCAAGGTGTTATAACACATTACATTTATTTCCTTAAAGATGACAGTAGTGACATCTCCTTGCAAGGGAGGGTTGGATTGAAACAGCACTAATAAGACGGTGAGACAGAGGATATATTTTTTTTTTATAACACCTGAATCCAATCTCCAACTTATCAAAACATGGTCTTTGATTATATAAATAGGTTTTTTTTTCTTTTTTTTTGGGGGGGGGGGGGGGGGGGGGGGGGTTTCTTCCGTTATGACCAAAGAAAATAATAATAAACCTTTCTGTTCCACACGTACAAAAGGTGTGTCGAGGTTACCTTTAGTCTGCTCTTGTCTGGTTGCTTGCATGTTTTTGTATTTATGTCTTTAATCAAATGCTAGGTTGTTTTAAGGAGACGATGCGAGATACGAGAGGAGACTGGGGAGAGATTGAGTATTAAGGTATGGTAGTTTGGGTTGTTGAGTCTGTTTCCTCAATGCTATTACTGGTCTCGTGTGTTATAAAATGATGAGAATGACTTGAGTTTTAAGTACTAAATGACATCATATGGCTTTTTTTTTTTTTTGCAGTATTATAAAAAAAAAAAGAAAAAAATGCATTAGCCGAAAAATTTTATAAAGGTGTTTAAAAAATAAAATAAAATAAAGGCATAAAATTAGTTTTTATTGTTTTTATTTTATTTTTTATAACTTATTTTTTTTTTTTTTAAATCTTTTTTTTTTTTTTTGCTTTGGTTGTTTTTTTGTTTTGTTTTTGGTGTAAATTAATAACATTAAACAAACAGTACCTACCGGAATATACACAGTGGGAGAAGCGATTTTCCCGTTCCATTTTAAGGTCCCATTTTATCTATTAGTCGCACCGTTACCTTTGAAAAAAAACTGTTTTTACTGGGTACTTTGTATTTTTTTTATTTCAATAGTACTTTAAACATAAGTTGTAAAAAATATATATATAATATTTTATATCAACATATCCCGCTTTTTAAGTGGCTTTACATTTGTGAAATCCTAAAACTACTTTTGACGTCTTTATGATGTTGTTTGTGTGATACGGCAGGTTATTTTGATTTAAGACGGTTGCTAAGTTTTAACGGAACCAAAAATATTTAGGATTTTAACATTTTTTGTTTGGTTTACTTTCAGTTCTTACTTTCTCAATACAGTTTGCTACTCAACAGTGTCTTAAATAGTATTTCTTAGCCCTGGGTTTAGATTTCAGGGTAAGTACATCACAAACTTAAGGTTAAAGAAGTAAACTTACAACTGATATTAAATTCAGATTTAGTCAGGTTCGTTTCTGTTTCAAGTCGTAATTAATTATTTATTTATTTGTTTGCATTTCGAGTCCCTTTGGCACGATAATAAATTTACTAGCATAACAAGAAGTGCTTAAGAAGCATAGTCCAAACAGTTTGATAAAATCAGACAATCCATGCCCGTGTTTACTAATTATTTCTTTTTCATACATGGAAGTCATCTCTGTTTCCTAGACAGTAGAATCATAAAAAGTAGTGTTCGATAGCTGGGAAAGGTGTGGAGAGCAATGGAAAAACTACTTTTTCATTTCGACTTACCTACACAAATGAAAATAACGAAAATAATACACTTTTTTAATTTGTTTCAATAAGAAATTTTATTAAATAATAGCAATTAAAAAAAAAAAATTCCTATTTTGAATCACTCAAGG